CACAGAGGTCTGCCTGCCTCTGCCTCCCCAGTGCTGGGATTAAAGGTGTGTGCCACCAACGCCCAGCAAAGATATACATAAAGAAGTATAACAGTCACCTTCATGAAAGTCTTTGACTTTAAAGTTCACTTCTCTAAAGTCCTTGGATTGACTATTGTTGTCTCAGCTTTGAAACAGAGACTCAGAGAGACAACATAGTAGCCCAAGAAGACAGAATTAGCTAGGGTGAGACTTGGGGTGCAACACACTGTTGCACCTGGCTCCCTTTCAGACAGTTGTGATTGGTTAGAACAGGAAGGTTCCGCTCATTCGTTACTGAGCTCCTACTGGAAGAAGCAGCTGGGGGGGGGGGCACAGAAGGCCTTAGCAAGAGGGTAGAAGCTCCCTGGCACCCTCTTACCCGGGCTATGGCTCCAGGTGGATATAGTCATGGATTCTAAAAGGGCTTCAGCCAGCCATGACAGAGAACACAGCATGGCAACAGCCCTGGCCGCAGGCGCACCAGTGACTCTGTAGGAATCAGTATGGGCCAGGTAAAAACAGACATTCATCTTCCCTTGGTGCTTTCCTGCAGTATCCAGGTTGTAAGGACAGTGCTGCCCCAACCTCATCGAAGCTTTTAGCACCGGGGAGGAAATTCACTAGCCACTGCCCAACTACAGGCTTGCAAGTCTGCCCTTGCCTTGATGCCATAAGTAAGGGAGCCTAGCTCTAGCCTACGGCGCTCTGAAGGTCGTTAGTTGTGAAGCATTTGGGGCTGTGTGACAGTTTACATTAAATGGCAAAATGATTCCAGAGGAGTCAGATACTGCCGTGCACAACCGGGATCCCAGCACTTGGGAGGTGGCAGATCAGGAGTTCAAGATCAGCCTCAGCTTCAGAGAAAGCTTATTTCAGGGATGAACTTTCTCAAAACTGGACAACAAACAAAATCGTCCTAGCAAAGGAAATGTCCCCAAGAGCCTCACCCAGCCTCTGATTTAGCTCAGCGGTGGCTCCTATGTCCCAGTGGGTACATGGGCTGGCATAGTGACAACAGGCTAATAGTAGCTGGTTAACCAAAGCCCAGAGTCATGAGTTGTCTAGAGAATGGTAGAGCAGCTGTGGGGGGAGGGTAAGAGGTAGGAGAGCAGAAACATTTGTGTTCTAAGCAGGGGTGCAGAGCCTCCCAAGGCTCCCATCCCCTTTCACCCCAACTCTGCTTCCCACAGCTGGGCAGATGTGGCCTCACACAGTCTCTGTCTAAGCCCTCTGCTCAAAGAGCCTCACTTCTCATGGGATCTGCCTCTCAGACCCAGCTATGTTCGAGCAGGGTTGTCTAGGAAACATGGCAGCAAAGAGACGTAGATATGGAAATCTCAGGATAATGGATGAGGATGGACCAAAAGCAGTAGGAAAATAAACTTCTTTAACAGATAGATATGTTAAAGAACCTCCTAAATGAAGGTGTTACTAGGCAGTCCAGCAAGTTACCAAGGAAGAGAAAGGGTTTTTTTGTTATGTTTTTTGTTTGTTTGTTTGTTTATTTGTTTTCCGAGACAGGGTTTCTCTGTGTAGCTTTGGAGCCTATCCTGGCACTTGCTCTGGAGACCAGGCTGGCCTTGAACTCACAGAGATCCACCTGCCTCTGCCTCCCGAGTGCTGGGATTAAAGGCGTGCGCCACCAATGCCAGGCCGAAGAGAAAGTTTTTGATAACTAGTTTTTTGTTTGTTTGTTTGTTTGTTTTTGTTTTGTTTCAGGATTTTTTTATTTGGGTTTTTTTTGTTTGGTTGGTTGGTTTTGGTTTCTTTTTTTGGCATGATCACTGGATAACTGTGTAAAACTGGAAATAATTGCAAAGCACAGAACAGGATGGATGCTTGCCAAGCCCGGGGAGACAGTTCCCTGACCCCTTGGAGAATTTCTGTGCTGTAGTGGAGAGGCCACCGAGGAGGGGGCCCTCTGAGGCCAGAGACAGGCAGCAAGCACAAGCAAGGCTCTAGCTGGTGGCCACAGTAAAGGCAAAATTTGAAAATGTGATTCTGGAAAAAGCACAAAGCAGTAAAGATGAGTTAAAGTGGTGCTTTTGAGCATTGTCACTCCCTGTGGGGCCTAGTGGTGTAACCCAAGGACATGGACACACTGGGGGCCTGTGAGTTAGCTTGTTATCCCCAGGCCTCCAGAGAGCCTGCCTGTCTGTCCCTGAGTAGGATGCTGTCCATTGGTGGCAGAGGCGGGCTGCCTTGCTGCCTGCCCCAGGTCCTGCTGTGACCCCACCAGCTGTGACAACCACCTATGCTGTTGTGCTCACTGGGACCTACACTGTCCCTGCTCCTGGGACCTGGGACCCCATGTGTTGCTCCTATTTCCTAGGAGCTGTGGCTGAGTGTCCTCAATGCACTCCAGCCATCATCAGCCATTACAAGCCACTTTCACGTCCTAGAGCAGAGTTTAAAAATAGAAACTCAGCTTTGGCTGTGAATATACCAATATGGGCTTCCTCGACACTTGCCAAGGACAGGGGCTTTGACCTGAGCCTGGCTGATCTGAGATCTGAGGCCCAGGGGCAGCACAGGCTACTCTCCTGGTGTGTGTACACTGCTTGCTGGTACCCTGTGGGTAGAGTTCAGGTACATGGCTCAGTCTTCTCAATGCACAGGATAGCCCTGGGGCAAAGATGATTGGGGCCTCAATGTCACTCATTTCAGGTGGACAGGCCATGCCACAGGCAAAGAGGAAAGGACAAAGATTACACACAGTCAGGTGGGACAGGCCAGCTACAGGCCATGGCCTAGGAGAGTAGAGGTGGCTGGCAGGAGACCAACCTGCTCCTCTTCCTCCCTTCCTGGTCCTTTCCATTAGCCCTGCAGGCAGACTGCCTTGAGAGTAGAAGCATGAGAGTTGGCTGTTAAACGCTTGCTTTGGTCTAGCACCTTGTTAGGTAGCAGAGACTCCACAGGACCACCAGGCCTGTCTCCTTCTCCTACAGAAACGTTCTAGGCTGCAGGGAAACATGGATGCTGTTCCCTTCCTTTCACAGGTTAAATTAATCCCAGGTAAGAAGTGTAGTGTCAGAAAATGTCCTGGGTTAGTAAGAGCGTGTGCATGTGGTTTGGGGGGAGGGAGACACTGGGCACGGAACAGCAACAGCATGCAAACAGAGCCCCAAAGTTGGAAAGGAGCTTGCCACCCACAGTTCCACAGGTAGGGAACAGCAGGATGAACAGTTTGAGAGCATAACACTTGCCCACCATTGTCCATGGCTCCTGTTAGGGTACCCATGCCACCTTCTTGGGCTAGGACAGCAGTTAACTGGCCTCTTCCTCGGCAGTCAGGGAACATGATAACAGGGTCTTAATCTTGAACCCTCTGTGAGTGTCTGTGTGTGTGTCTGTGTCTGTGTGTGTGTGTGTCTGTCTGTGTGTCTGTGTGTCTGTGTCGTCTGTCTTCTTGCCTGCCTGTCTGTCACTGTCTCATTCTCACTCATGGTAGGGTTGCTGGCTCCCTAGCTCAACAGGCAGAGCCAGCAGCAATTGCCTAGCCTCAGAGCAGCTGCTTCATCCTGAGTACCATCCCAGCTCTTTCAGTTTCTAGAACCCTTCCCAGTGTTCTCCAGTAATAAGCACACATATTGAGCCTCACCATGAATCAGCCCAGGTCATAAAAAGTAAGGAGACTGGAGCAAGGGGTGTCGTTTACTTGTTAGAGTGCTTCTCAGCACAAGGCTCTGAGTTTGCTCTCCAGCACTGCATAAGTGTGGTGGTGCACGCCTGTCATCCAAGCACTGGGAAAGTAGAAGCTGGAGGGTCTGAGGTTCAAGGTCACCCTTAGCTATATACTGAGTTTGAGGCCAGTCTTTGGCTACATGAGACACTGTCTCAGAAAAATCAAGTAGACTGGCCAGGCACGTTATTTCATGTGAGGACAGATGAACGGCCCACACCAGCAGCATCTGCAGACCACGCCAGGACAGAATGAACAGTGCATCACTGACACCCAAGGTGGTTCTCCAACCTCCACGAGTGCATCGTGGCAGGTGTGTGCTTCTCCCATGTGAAGCAACAACGTGTGGGAAACCCCTCACTGTGTGTGTGTGGAGGGGGGGTTACTGTGCTTCCCCCCAACTGGGAGCTAGATGCGAGCTTTCTTCAGAAAAACAAAAGTTTTGAAAGCTTCACACTCTCCTCCCAAATATTTTCAATCAAAGGAGATTGATTTTCTCTTCCTCCTCCTCTTCTTTTTCCAAGTCCGGTTTCTCTGTGTGACACCCCTAGCTGTCCTGGAACTCACTTTTAGATCAGTCTGGCCTCAAACTCACAGAGATCTGCCTGCCTCTGCCTCCAGAGTGCTGAGATTATAGGTGTGTGCCACCACCACCTAGCCCAAAGAAGATTTTCAATCACCTTCTTGGGAAGTCAGAAAATAGAATCCCAGAATCTGTCTCTGAGACGACAGAAAATGATAAACAAACAAACAAACAAACAAACAAAACTGGTACGTGTCTAGGTGAATTATTTCAAGCAAAAATTACATATCAATGTAAAGTAGTCATGATGACCGTGCCCCATTACTGAAGTCTTCAGGATTAAAACTAGGCTGTAGCACTGTAGAAGCAAGGGGTGCTGGGAATCCCTGGTGTCCATTCTGACTGTTTGAGACAGGACATTAAGACTATGATGGATGAGCTGTAGGTCTTGGTCAGCTGACCCTGCATAGTGAGTGTGAGAGGGGTCACTAAAGCATGCCTCAAAATCACCACAACACCTGTGGAAGCTGGGCTAACCCCAGAGTCGCTCTTCTAGGAGACATGAGGTCCTAAAACCTTTATCTCTAGCTTGTTATTAAGTGATAGTGAAGTTGACGTCTCGGGGACCACACTCTGAGGACAATTACATAAAAACCAGAGACGCAGAGAGTGAAGCTTCCGGCAGAATAAAGCAATAGTGAACAAAGCTCCCGTGTTTACCTTCAACAACCAGGCCAGCCCGTTCTCCCAAGAGCTTTGTGCAGTGGGCCAGACATGATTATTTGGGGCTTTGTGGGCCAGATGATCTCTGTCCCAGATACCCAGGTCCTCAGCGTGAGCAAAATCAGATGGCGAGGTGAGGAACTGAAGGGCGTGGCTATGGTCCCAGAAAAAAAAAAAAAAAAAAAAAGACCAGGCTTTTTCTGTTTTCCCCAGGGTGGGAATAGAACCAAGGGCTTCAAGCATCAAGGCAAAAGGGCTTCCAGTGAGCCGCACACAGGCTTTTCAAAAAAGTGTGTAAAGGGTTGGATGCAACCCTGTATCAGTCCCCATGTTTGGTACCTACAATGGCTTCCACAGGTCCTGTGGCCTCCTGGGAAGCCTCTGCAGCAAGGCTGGGATCAGCATGTCAGTATTCTTAGTATCTTGCAAGATGTGGTGGGGGGGCAGGAGAGAGAGAGAGAGAGAGAGAGAGAGAGAGAGAGAGAGAGAGAGAGAGAGAGAGAGAGAGAGAGAGAGAGAGAGAGAGAGAGAGAGACGTGTGCATGAGATACGTGTGTGTGTTGGTAGTGACAGCAAAGCCCCAGTCCTCTGACTCCAGCCCTTTGGCTGGGCAGCTAGGCTGTAACATGACTATTCCTCTATTCCTTTGGGGGCTGAGAAGAAGGTAACAGTTTAGTCGGATGCTGTGTTGCCCTAAAGATACCTCCTCCTGCCACATCCTCCAAGTTACAGTTCAGAGTGGGGGACGCTAACTGTGTGCCTAAACCAGAGTGTGTGAGTTGATGGTGGAAGCCTGAATGACCCCTTGTGTTCCCTTGCCCTGGGCTCCATGCTCAACTGGAGGCATAAGGAAAATGAACACACGCACACACACACACACACACACACACACACACACACACACACACACAACCACGACCCCACTGCTGGCTACAGAGGATCTGCACACGAACCCGCACGATCATGCACACATAGCCACACATGAGCACATGCACACACAAAGCATGCACAGGCTGTTTGTTTCTCATCTGTGTTCACTTGTCAGTCATTCTTCCCCGCCTCCCCTCTGCCTCCCTCTCTCTTCTTTCTCTTCACCTTTTGAGGTTTGCTATGTCTTTCTAGAGGGCTGGGATTGTTGTGCTCAGCCCCTCCCCACCACACACACACACACACACACACACACACACACATGCTTCTCACCTTCTCCTTTCTCGTCCCCCCCACCCCTCTCCCAGACCCCTTTCTTGGGAATCAAGCGCTATAGACGTACTCATCGGGCACAAAAATCTCAGCTCCACCCCTCACCCTCCACCACCTCTGCCCCTGACCACACAGCCCAGACCAGGGTCTAACCCAGGCTCTCTACAATTCCTTCCTTGGCACCTGGGTTGAACAACAACAACAACAAATGCATCTTATCTAAGCAATGCATGAGACCAGGGCACCTGCTGAAGTTTGGCCCAAATGTGCCCAAGTCCCTGGGAAAGGCCCTCGCTGCAAGTGTCAACAACTGTTCCTGAAGGAGGGCCTTCCATGTCATCACAGTCACAGGTGTGAGATACCTGTCCACTAGGTGGCAGATAGCATTGTTATATTTATTTAATATATGGAGAAACTGAGGCTTCGGGAAGTTTGCCCCAAACCAGGGTCTGCACAACACCAAGGTCTGGTGGCAGAGGACAAATACTAAGACCACACGTCACCTCTTATTTTCCTCCAAAGTCAGTAACAAGTCCAGCCCTGCGTGAGCACTCCCTGTGGATCACTATATTCAGAAATCCAAAACGTGGAATGTTCCAAAATATAACATGTGTTGAGCTCTAGCAGGACACCCTCAAGAAAATTCTATGGCATGAGGCTGGAGAGATGGCTCATCATTTTAGAACACTGGATGCTCTTCCAGAGGACCCAGGTTTGGTTCCCAGCACCCACATTGAGTGGCTTACAACTGCCTGTGCCCCAGGGGATATGACACCCTCTTCTGGCCTCCCTGGGCACTGAACTCATATGCACATACCCATACCGACATAATTTTAAAATAATAAAAATAAACCTTTACAAGCAAAAACTTTGCAATGCAAAACTGTATATTCTGCACAATATTGTGTAAAGCCATCATCATCACAGGATGCACAGGAACCTGGAGTGAACTCTGTGTTTAGACCTGGGTCCTCCCGAAAGACATGCCTTTACACATATGCAGATATCCCAGAACTAGAGAAAACAATAAAATCCAGAATCTAAAACACTTCCAGTTCCAGGCATTTCAGACAAGAGATTCTCATCCTAGATAGTCAATGCAGAAAGCCTGAATGACGGAAAAGGAAGCACACACTCATGCGGTTTTCAGCGATGTCATTGATCCTCCATAAAGACTTTAACACTTACCCATGTTGTACTGTGGTGTGTGCATATGCATACACACACATATACAAACACACACACATATCTGTGTACGTATCTTGAACCCTTGACCTTCCTGCACTGGGCTTACAGACATTCCCACCATATGCTGTTTAAAATTAGACATCTCACATATTCTGTGTGTGTGTGTGTGTGTGTGTGTGTGTGTGTGTGTATGGGTGCAGGGCGTGTGTTCCTGTGTGTGCATGCAAGTGTGGAGACCCGAGAACAACTTCAGTTTTCCTGCCTCAGGCACCATCCACCTATGTTTTTTTGAGAGTGACTCATTGGACTGCCCTCTCCTAGGAGCCAGGCCATTTGGCCAATAAGCCTTAGAGATCCACCTGTGCCCACTTTCCACAGCCCTGGGATTACGAGAATGGATGGCTGTCCTATCTTTACATATGATTATACTTAGTGTGTGTGTGAGGGTGATGCATTCCACAACGCACATGTAGAGACAGAGACCGGGGATAACTGTGGAGTCCTTTGTCCCCTTCTGCTTTGACATGGGTTGTACTCAGGTCACCACGCTTGTCCAGCAAGCACCTTCAACCACTGAGCCATCTTTCCGGTCCCATCTGTTTTTCCTTTTTATGTGGATTCAGGAAATCAAACTCAAGTATTCATGTTTGCAACACAAGCACTGTGCCGACCGTTTGGGGGTTCATTTCCTTCTGTGTATGAGGCTACTTCAGAGACAGGCTTCAAAGTGTTAACAGATGAAGCTGGGTCCTCTCTATCCCAAGAAAACAAATCACCTGGTTGCCCAAAGTGCTCGTTGCCACTCTATCTATCTATAATGGTGTAAAACTGGAAACAACCCCACTCTGTTACTGTGCCCCTAGCCTATGCAGAGCAAAATCAGCCATGAACTTCCTTCTGACACTGTCAAAAGATTGCACTGAAATTCTCTACTGAGAAGGAACAATATCCCACACACTGTCTGGCCAAAAGCATCAAGCAGAACAGATCTATGTGTGTGGGTCTTCCAGTGAGAATGGGGGCGTTTGTGTCTCCTGGAGACTATTTAACTAAATACTAACAGCTGCTGTCTAGAAGCAGCATTGGGAGATTTACATTTTTGTGTTAGGCTTATTTCTTTCTGGAATATCATGTTTCTTCATCTTTGTGGGAAGCAGAGAGGACTTTGTAATGGGGGATGGGTGGGCAACGAGAGCCACTTTGATTTATTTATTTATTTGACAAATTCAGACATCTACTGATCATAATCACCCCACCCATCCCCATTCAACTCTCCCCAGGTGCCCCCCAAACACACACACACACATATCCCCCTCCCAACTCTCTTTCTCCCTCTTCTTCCTTAGTGACCCCTGAGAATTATCAGTGATTCTTGTGTGTGCATGGATATGAGGCCGCCCACTGGAGCATGGGCAAACTACCAGGAAAGCCACTTTGGTTTTGTGCCTTAGAGTCTCCCCATCCCCCACCCAGGATGTGGTTCCTCCCCACAGCAAGGCTGTGTGTACTCCTGTGTTGCAGACTCCGACAGCCAGTGCAGCCCCACACGGCACAGCCTCAGCCTGTCTGAGGGAGAGGAGCAGATGGACCGTCTACAGCATGTGGAGTTGGTGAGGACCACGCCCATGTCCCACTGGAAGGCTGGCACAGTGCAGGCCTGGCTGGAGGTGGTGATGGCCATGCCCATGTACGTCAAGGCCTGTGCAGAGAACGTTAAGAGTGGGAAGGTAGGCAGCTTGGGCCCCCGGGGGTGACCCTGTACCTTCCCATGAGTGTTATCCCCTCCCAGGAATTGACTGTCTTCATTCTACCCCCAGGGACAAGAGGAGGTATAGCGATAGAAGTTTGCCAACTTATTGCAGGTCTGGGTCACCAATAAATCAGTCTCCCTAGCAAGGAAACAATGCCCTTTGGAGTCATGCCACTTTGTCCTTAAATTGGAATGAACCTCTCCTTAGCTGACGGGGATCCATCAGGGCTGGACTGGGGAGTTCTTTAGCTTAGATGGGGGCCCCACCCATCTTGGTCCAAGCAGTATCCCCCGCAAAGGTGGTCCATAACAATAGCTGAGCCCGGGCATCCAGGAGCCCAGCAAGGGGTGACAGGAAGACACAACCAGGCATCAGGAAAGAGCTGAAGCAAGACGGTCCCAAGGGACATGGGTCCCACAGCTCCTAGAAACAGGCTTTTTAATTTTTTTGTCTTTTTGAGACACAGTTTCTCTGTGTAGCCCTGGCTCTGTAGACCAGGCTGGAACTCAGAGATCCACCTGCCTCTGCTACCCAAGTGCTGAGTTAAAGGAGTGTGCCACCACTCCCTAGAGACAGGCTTTGTTGGGAGCTTCCAACCATCACAGGCTGCAGAGGTGTCTGGTGCCCTGTCTAGGAGGATGGGTTGGGAGGGGGGTGTGGTTGAGTAGCCCATTCCCTCCCACCCTTCTGTATTGGCCGCAGCAGCAGTGAACAGGGCTTGAGATTCCAGGCGCCATGGCCAGGTCTCCCTACTTCTGGCCCATCTCTTGCCTCCAGGCACTAATTCTACTTTCTGAAAGTAGGTGCTGCTCAGCCTGAGTGACGAGGACCTGGAGTTGGGCCTGGGTGTGTGCAGCTCCTTGCACAGACGCAAGCTCCGCCTGGCCATCGAGGACTACCGTGATGCAGAGGCTGGCCGCAGGTAAGCCACTGTAACCTGGAAAAGCAAGGACTTTCTGTCCTGAGCCTCCCTGTCACCCAGGCAAGCAGGATACTGGGTCACATTAAGCTTCAGGATATTGAGGATAGCAAAGATGGCCTAGATGTATCCTGCCACCATAGAAAAACTAACGCACAGGAGGCACACACGCCCAGAACATTGGTGTTATACCTCCACCTCAGAGCGGGCGTCAGAAGAGTGGGTGGCTCCCAGCATGCTTCTGTCTGCCCAGCTGGTAGGGATTAGGCCACACAGCCAACATGTCAAAGCTCAGGTCTGTCCACCCCAGAGTAAAGGAATGGAGCAGGAGGGTAGACAGCGGAGGCAAAGGGGCTGGATAGTCTCGTGGAAGTCTTTTACAGAGTAGTGTAGCCAACTGGTCTAGGCCTCTCTTAGCAGATGTACCTGATGGTAGCTGGCATCCCATCTCAGAATCCAGACTGTCCTTGCTGGAGCACCCCCCATACCACTCCCACCCAGCCCCACTCTTTTTCTACTTCTCTCTTGACCTCCGAGGGGTCCGTTTTTTAGCAACTCTCATGAAAAGGGAAGCCACCTCCCCCAACACCCAGTCCTTGGTGCTCAGAGTGGGGAGGGGCCAGTTTTGTAAACCTGACACGGTCTGTTTTGCATAATTATCTCCTTCGCTGGTTTCCCATCGTTTCTGTACAGTTAATTAATCAAACCTGATGGTGTGTGCTACTGTCTGCAGAAGTTGCTTTGTGCATTAACAGAGAGGGGGAGGGAGGGAGAGAGAGTTGGGAGGCGGAGGGGTGGAGAAGCAGGCCAGCTCCAAAGCAGAATAACACAATCTTATGCATCAGGAGACGGGCCCTGGTGCCAGGCCAAGGTGACAAGTATTTCAGAGAAAGGGTCGGAAAGCTAGCAACTCAGAGCCAGCAGTAGAGGTGTCAGTCTAGGAAGGAAGGGCTGATGGGGTGGTGCCAGAAGGGAGGCACCCTTCACCCCATCGGGCCTTCCCTCATGAAGGCTCCTGAAGCACCCTCCCAGCCACCTCCTGACCACCTCCCTCCTCTAGACCCCAAAGTCTAGACACCCTCCTGCTCACACCACACCCCACATCCTAGAGGTTTCCTCCATGCTGCCTGTGTTTCTTGAGCATGTGGGGACACTGGCTTCAGCTCTCAGAAGTGCCAGGAGTCCCCGACACTGCCCAAGTGTCCACCACTGTCCCCAAAGCATGGCTGTCTGCATCAGCTTGGGTTGCTATAACAAAATGCTACCAACCAGGTAGAATGAACAACAGACACCTATTTCTCCTGGCTCTGAAAACTACAAGTCTAAGGGAGCAAGGTGCCAGGCTGGCCAGGCTCCTGCAGGGTACCCCTCCTGGTTATACATGGCAGCCTTCTTACAGGGGCCTCACACGGGGAAGGGAGAATCATTTGCCACCAGTGACGTCAGGGAATCCTAACGCTTCCCAAGGACCCAACCGGATGCCATCACATAGACACACAGATGTGGGGGACAAAGGCTGGTCCATAGCAGGAGCCGAGCCTGAAATCCACCCAGAGCTGAGAAAGGTGTGACTCACAAGCACCACCATGGGTGTATGGGAGAGCTGAAGCAGATGGTCCCACATTAGACAGCCCAGGTCCTATGGAGAGATACCTGGCTGCGAGATTCCTGGGCCAGGACACTTTGCCTTCTCTGGGACTCAGTTTCCTTACCTGTAAAGTAAAGAGAATTGACCAAAGTTAAGGGTTGGACCCTTTTAGGAATCCAGTAGGGGCTGTGATGCCTTCCCCAGATGAACTCTACAAGACTACATAACTTTTCAACGTAAGTCCTCTGACTTAGCCACGGAAATTTTAAAAGCCCACAGACTCTGGGTTCAGAGTCCCAAGGTGAGCTGTCTCAAACTCTCTAAGCTGTGATAATGGACATGGCCACTCTGGGCCCAACATTCCCCTTTGCCAAACTTTCACCTAGCTCTTTACGAACACAATTTCACTCACCCATTCCACCCGTTCCTCAGCCACAATTATCTCCATCTTAGAGATGAAGAATTGAGTGCAGACAGAGAACAAGCAAAAAGTCACACCCCTCAGAGCTGGCTCTCATGCATTGTCTTTGCACCCTCCCATGGTGCCAGGGTATTAGAAACAGTGTCATCTCCTACTGTTAGCTATGGAGCTGGGATTTCCGTTCTCTAACTCCTTCAGTCCCCACCACTCCATATAGCGAGTGTGGTTGGGATTTTTTACAGAGGAAACTGAGTTGCAAGGTCTCAGACTCAAAACAGTCTCCCACTGTTTTTACTGATGTGTGACCCAGATGGCCTCTACATGACATGCCTGTCCTCAGATCTTGGGCTCTGGCCTAGCTCCACCTGAGGAAGAGGTCCCAGCAACTGTTAGGGAAACAGTGACTGGATTCCTTTTGAAGCCAGACTTGAGTCCCTGTGTCAGTTCTGAGTAGCTTCAATGCAAAGGCATTTCGAATGTCAGACACATGTTCTTTGGGAACTTACAGAGGGACACTGTTGGTTACAAGTGAGCCACTGCTGAGGAAGTCAAGCCAGGTGTGCCTCCTGGCTACCACCCCCAACAGTGTCGTACCACTGACTTCAGAAGGATGGGAGGCACTCTCCCCTTATTCCCATGAGTGACAACCCTGCCGGGAGCATCCAGTTCAGACCCATGATGGCCACAAGGGCTGGGGCTGGGCAAGGGTCCTCTGTGACAATCCGAGAAGGAAGATTATCTTGGGCTGGAATGTTCTGGTTTAGGAGCCTCATCAGGGCAGAGTAGAGCCCAGTCCTTCCTCTAGCCCTGATCAGTTTTCTGAGCAGTTAGCTATGAAACACACCAGGCAGCATTCACTCCACTGGGTGGGCTGAGTGAGCTGGCCTGGTCCTGGCCAGGAAAATCTAATGAGGGGATTGGCCTACAAGCTGTAGTTAACCCCAGCATGTCAGGTACACACATGGGGCCCTGGGACCTTAGGCAAGAGAAAGGACCCTGGTGTGGGGGTGGGGGGGAGTTCCTGAAAGGTGTCTGGGAGTCTATAGGAGATGATAAGGAGAGAATGGGGGCAACAGGCCTGGAGACAGGCAGAGGACAAATCCTTGTCTTAGGGAAACAGAGAAGCAGTTCCAGGAGGCTGGGGCAGAGGGAAGGAGAGGGAGCCAGGAACTCATGCAGATGTTCTGCCAGCAAACAGTTAGTGAGAGTCTGCCGATCATCCCCACACCCATTGTGTCAGTGAACATGTCCCTGGTCCTGATCACCTCTCCTGTACCCTAAGTTAGGGGCAAGGGACAATAAACTAGTGGATAAATCACTCTGTAACTAAATGCATCATGCACTGAGTGCTTTGAGGGCAAAAACCGGAAGGGCAGGATTGAAGGAGAGGACAACCTTAGATGGAGAGATGGCCCCTGGGGGAAGGAGGAGGGAGCCCTGTCAGCACCTTGAGTGCGGCTCAGAAGGGCAGGAAAGCCTCTAAAACAGGAACAGAGCGGGGCGTGCCAGCTGTCTCCAGCTGCCCCCAAAGAGAAGAGCAGCATCCCTTTGCAAGCTAATTGTGTTCCCTTGTACTGAGTGCTCCCACCTAGACAATGTTGTGCTCCCACCAGGCAGCACTAGGTCATTTTTCAGGGTCCCTCCGCAGGGATGTTGCGAGGACCTCATTCCTTCTATGAGGTTGCCACCTCGTGGCAGTCACAGGAATGACATCTAGGAACCACCTTACTTAGCCAGGTGTATCCCCACCCATCAACAAAGCCTCTCTGCAGAATGCACCCCAGGCGGCTCACAGCCAGTACCTCCAATTCCAGGCAATCAGACACCCTCTGTCTTCCAAGGATACCTGCACACACGTGGTGTGCATAAACTCTCACAGGCACACCCGCACGTACACAAAAAAGATAGTGAATAAATATTTTAAAGCCTTTTTGAATACCTACAATGTGCATGTTTCTGAGGTTCTGTCCGGTGCAAGTCTCAAGTGTGACAGCGAGGTAGCGAGAGCAGCCTAAAGGCCATCTGGGTTTCTCTGACCCAAAGATGAGCCCATGAGGGAAGGGCTGAGCCGCAGCCCTGTCTTGGGACAGAAGGCCTGGAACACTGGGTGGATCCATGAAGCCTTCGCATCCTCCTCCAAACAGGAAAAGGGACCAGAGGACAGCAGACAGGTGGACAGGGGAGGAGGATGGTTAGCCTGGGGCTTTGAGGAGTCCTGGGTTCTGCAGAGCCCTAGGGAAATAGGGTGGGTCAAGTCAAGGAGGGGTTCCCCAAAGGTCCACCAGCTGTAGGTAACCCTTCTCCTGACACTGCCCCTGCAGTTTTAGTCTGAGTGTGGCCTAGTGATATTCATTTTGTCCCTGTGATCCGCTGCTGTTCTTTAGTTCTGTCTGTCTCTCTGTCTTACTCCCTCTCCCCATCCACCTCTTCCTGAGTCTCTCTGTGTGTCAGTCTGTGTGTCTGTCTCTGCCTGAGTCTGTCTCTGTCTGTCTATCTTAGTCTCTCTTTCTGTGTGTCTCTGTCTCTGTCTCTCTGTCTCTCTGTCTCTCTGTCTCTCTGTCTCTCTCTCTGTCTCTCTCTCTCTCTCTTCACATCTCTGATCACTCCATTCTTTTCTTCCCCTCGATCTCTCTCCTCCACCCCGTTCCCCATGCTCCCTGGCTTTCTTGTCTACCCTTGCCCTGTCTTTTTCCTCTCTACCCATCTCTTTCCCATTTCCACCTGCTCTCCCCACTCCCACCTCTCTCTGGCTGTGTCTCCTTCTCAGCCTGTCCAAAGCCTCCGACCTGGACCATCACTGGGTGGCCAAGGCCTGGCTGAATGACATCGGCCTGTCCCAGTATTCCCAGGCCTTCCAGAACCACCTTGTGGATGGGAGGATGCTGAACTCCCTGATGAAGAGGGACCTGGAGAAACACCTGAACATCTCCAAGAAGTTCCACCAAGTCAGCATCTTGCTGGGGATAGAGCTGCTGTACCAAGTGAACTTCAGCAGGGAGGTAAGGACT